AACTCACAAATCATTTCAAGATATTGAAAAAACTCGACGTAATAGATTTATTGTATGATCAATTTTGGATATCACTGTAAAATCTCGAGGAATAAATCGTTTATTTTCTATTTTTTTTTAAGATTTCGGTATCACCTTTGGCTAAATGTCCACCATCATCAAGTAGTGGTTTATCAACATCGAATCAACCCGTACACCCTTCTCTTTGCAAAACTATATCCGAGCCACCAGTACTTCCTCGTCATACTAGCAATGAACAATATTCGGTAAACAATAATGAAAACGTCGATAACAACGTTCAGAATGATCGATTCTGAACGTTTGTGTGTGCGCGCGCACATGCTTTGCTTCAAAACATGCAATTTTCTATTAAAAAAACGACAGCCAAGTGCTCACGCTTGTGTGAATGTGTGTTATGTACATAAACTTATATCTATGTGTGGGTTTGATTCTTTTTTTTTTGTCTTTCTTGTGTTTTGATCAACCAATATTACTACATGCGCACATTGTTCGTACAATATTCGATTGATACAATTCTAACACAAGGTAACCAACTTGCATGTAATTAATCTTTTTTTTTTCTTTTAAAACTTTTTTTTGTTATTTTTTTATTTCATAAAAATAAATCTTATGATTTTTTGCTTTTTTTTCTAGTCACGATCCATTCATAATGAATATAATCATACACAAAATTATTTCTATGCACCAATGACTACAACACATAAGAAAAAAGTTTTTCATACGAAGCAAGTTACGATTTCTGCTCCGACTGATTCATCATTTATAATGGAAAATAATTTCAATCGAAATTTACGTTATATCAATAATGTCTATTATGATCAAACAACTCGTTCATCATCAACAGAATCATCAACGAGTTCAACATCGACACTTAGACATGTTGATAACTATTCTTCTACCCCGGTCGCTGCTCCTACGAGGTTTTTCTATCGACGAAGATAGTTTTCTTTTTTAAATGTATATATACATATTATTGTGTGTGTGTAACTAGAATAGCCTTGTATATACGTTTTTTCCTGTTTTTTTTTTCTTTTACATGTGTCTTTCAAGTAAACTATCTCTTTCTTTTTTCCTAATACAAAAAAAAACAACTAGCCCAATAATTGCGCTGCTTTTATTATTGTCCAAAGGACTTTCTCATATGATTTCGAATATTAATGCATTTCTCTTGATAATCATGATTATGTTGGTTTTGTGAAGTGTGATTGATGGTGGATAGAAATAAACACATGAAAAAAAAATAAGATGCGCGCTCGTATACATATTTATATATATATATATACATATTTCGTTCATTCGGTGTTTCTTTTTCTTTTTTGTCTTTTCCCCGTTTTTTTTGCTTCTACGACTGTGTATATTATCATAAACATGGTTTTTTTTGTTCCTTTTTCTCGCTTTCAAAAAACAGATGGATTATTAAAAAGAAACCCAACAACAATTAAAAGAATGCTTATATAAACTGAGTACAGTGCCATTCGATAGATAACTTTAGTTTTAGATAATTAGAAATATGGTTCGTTTAACACCGATATTACGATGGAGCGATTATTTTAATTTACCAAAACGATATGTTGAACGAGCCAAATTCAAAGGAACAGTTATTGGTAATGAAAAAAAGATTTTATTTGAAATAGGGTACTTCCTTTGCGAGTGTGCCAGAGTTTTTATCGAGTCTATCGGAATGAAACGAAGTTTTCAACGCTAATAAAGTTCATGTTCATAAGCACAGATTTAAGCTCTAAAAACTTTGAACACTGAAGAAGGAGGCAAGTTCGTTTGCTTAGTCGGAATGGACCTTGTCTAGCTCTTCTATTCCCAAATGATAAAAGTCAGAAAATATCAATTCTTGAGGTTGTATGCGCTTAAATATATCTATTAGTTTTAAACAGAATTTCAATTTTTATTAGTGCTTTAGAATCGTGTAACTATCCTTCATCTAATGTTGCAACTCGCAGATCTATAGCTCTTCTCTATACCAAATAGCAAAACCAACTTTGAAGCTTACTTTCGAATATGTCGCAACTTTTTATCTTCTCAGAAGACAACCACAAAACTCTCAAAACCTTTTTTATAATGAAAATTTATAAGCACGCTTAGTTGTAGCGTTTCTGAAGTTTTCAGTTTTTGCTGATGCGATTTGACGGAGAAAATGACTATAATAGTTGCTACAGTCGCTTTTCTTCGTTAAGTTGTATTGGCCAAAAATGAAATTTTCAGAAATGATAGCTATCTTTTTTCGAAAGAAGATGTAAAGTTGTGAAAAATTTGAAAGTAAGTCCCAAAGGTAGTTTTGCCCTTCTGACCTGGAAGAAGCTCTACATCTGCTAGTTTCAACGTTAAATAAAGGAATGTTTGACGATTCTAGAGCACTATTAAATATTGAAATTCTGTTTAAACTTCATAGAGATATTTGAATGCATGAAACGTCAAAAATTAACATTTTCTGCAGCAGTTCTCTCAAAAATAGTAGATAGGGGAAAGGCGTACCCTACAAAAAAATGATCATTTGAACAATTAGTATCTATGATAAAATTTTCTGACTTCTATCATGTGAAATAGGAGAGCTAGGTAAGATTTATTTGGACTGAACTAGCTAACGTATTCTCTCCCTATTGGACTTCTTTGCAAATTTTCTAAAGTTTTTTTTTGGAATTCATAGATGCAAGTTCTAGAAGCTCTGAAAATTTGTTTTCATTCCGATAAAGCTGATGTACACTCATGTACACTATTGAAAGAAGTATTCGATATAGAATGGAAAAATTCAATAGATTATTCTTTTTTCTATATTTCCAGAGGGTAATATGAATATTGTCCCACATAAAACAATAAAATATAACGATCCATGGATATATACAAATGATCCACCTTGGACTGATCTTGCTCAACGTAAAAATGATCCAAGACAAGGACAACAACGTTCACCACTTATTGAACCATTAAAAACTTGGGATTTTTTTCGTGGAGATACTGTATGTAGTAATCATGAATTTTATCATTTTACTTTTTCAAAAATATAAATAGGTTGAAATCATGGTTGGTAAAGACAAAGGCAAACAAGGCAATGTTGCTGCTTATATTCGTGAATTAAATGCAGTTTTTGTATCTGGACTGAATTTTGTAAAAAAAACAAAACAAGAATTTTTTTTAATTCTATGCTTCAAATTTAAATACATTTTATTTATACATTAGGAAGTTCAACGAATAAGTGGTGGTGTTATTGCTGCCAGTTCAATTGCTGTTAAAGAAAAACCACTTATAGCTCCACATCAAGTAAAATTAATTGATCCATATGATGGGTATGATATGTGTTTCTATTTGATTGTTTTTGTTCATATTAATAATGTTTTTTGTAGAAAACCATGTACTATTGAATGGCGTTATACAGCTGAAGGTGAGCTTGTACGTGTATCAACTCGATCTGGTCGAATTATTCCGAAATCACCTACATGGGAAGAAACTTATGATTATGCAAAAAAATCTACTTATAAACGTAAAATGAATTTATTTTTATGCTTCTGGTTTTTTTTAAATTGATTCTTTTTTCTAGCCGGTCCTGATGATACGATCGATGCTGAATTGAAACGTGTTACATTTGAACCTAAATTAATGACAGTTGCTGAAGAATTAATGAAAGCTAATGGCATTGTAGAGACTAGAAAACGTGGTCCTGTTTATATCTATTAGTTACAAAAAATAAATAAATAAATCAAACGTTTTGTTATTTGATAGAAAAACAAGTCAGTTTACATGTTGTTATTGTTCTTTTTTTAATTTCAGATTATAATGATTAATTCATTTGTATTAAAAACTTCATTATTAACAAATGCAACGAAAAATGTTCTCACTAGTATATTACCAATACAACCTGTACGAACAGCTTTTCTCTATGAATCAAAACATCGAGTTAATATTATGAAACGTATGGCTGTTCATGGTATTCATAATCATTTAGGACGTAAAAAAGGTCAAGTTTATTTATGGGAAAAATTAATTCGTGGTGATGAAGTTGTTGTTGGTAAATAGAAAAAATTTTGAAAAAAAAAAAAAAAATTTTTACTTTTTGTTTTTTTATTTTCTTAGAAGCACCATTTTTTCCGTTTACAGAAGCAGCTAAAGCTGCAAAGAAACCTTATTGTGAAATACACGACAAATATAAACCACTTAAACCAGTACGAATACCACGACCAGATCCATGGCTTGATCGTAAAACGTTCAAACATACAAAAAAATTTTAATTATGTTTTGTATTGATAGTTTATCTTTCAAAATAAAAACAAATGTTAAATTAGGATATGTGCCATTTCAGGGCAAAAAAAGACACACACATGTCATACAATTTTGTTTTTTTACAAGGGTTATTTTGTTGTACAAGTTCTTGCAACATAGGTATATTTAAAAGCTGCTAGTGCAATCTCTGTGAGATTGAAATGTAAAACATAATATAGTTTCTATTGCTTATCACAGGAAGATTGTTTTATTCTGTCTATCTTGTGATGAATTTATTTATCTTTGCTTTATTGAATCTTTTAGAAATATAATAATGAAGTAATTAATATATTATAACATGCCATTATTGATATACGGTTGATGATGATCTTTAACTAGTGCCTAGCATAGGTTATCGGAGGTAGTGGATGCAAATTTTTACCCTATATATTTCAACACTACTTTTAAATGGTGTTTCAGGAAAATATGAATAAATTCTTCAACGTGGACACATAAAAATGCTTTTTCATCTGTATATTCGTCATTTCGCTAACGAAAAGTAAGCCGATTTTTTCGAAAAAGTTAGGCATGCTAAAAAAATGAACTTAGGACAGACATTCTATAGGCTGAAGAGTTATCTTTAGAATATGCTATTTAGTTTTCATTGTTTTAAAATAACAACGCATGAAATGAATATCGATGTCATAAATCAACTCTAGTTTTTTATTTCTATAAAAAATCTATAATAATAATAATAATAATAATAATAACCATTAATCAATGCAATAAACTTGACAAGCGTTACGACTTTTGAATACATTAAATGTATTAACAAGTAAATACATTGGTATTGCTCCCACAAGACTACCCATCTGACTTGCAGCTCCAAGCCAAAATAATCCACTATGACGTTGATATTCTTGACGAACACGATTTCCAATCACTAATCTTATATAATAAAAAATTAAATAAGCTAGAAAATAACAACCAATTACTAATATAGCTCCTTCTGTAGTATCATGTAATGGTGGACATGGACTTAAAAAAGCAACAATAATTACATATAATGATACACATGTAGCTAATATAAATAAAATAAATATTAAAATATATTTTAATATACTTCGTATAAAAAGTCCTATTAATACTGAAAGTGGATTTGAAATAGGTAAAATAATACTTGAAATATAATAAGCACGTTGTGAATAAGGTAATACGGCATATGTACCAATTGATGGTAGAATACCAAATAATATAATACTTGATAAAAATCCAATAATAAGTAGAATATAATAACTCTTTTTTGTCATTGAATAAGATTCAGTTAAAGTAATCGATTTTGGTTCTAATTGCACTGAAAGCTCATAAGTACTTGTTAATCTTGATGGATTATAAAATAATGTTATTCGATGAGATTGTGTTATAGTTGAAAATTCAAGTATAAGAAATGCAAAAAAAGAAAGAAATATAATACCAACAAATGTCCAAAAGTAAACTTGAACCGAAAAACGTGGTGAAGAATATTCTGGATATGTTGAATTTTCTCGACATATTGGTTCACCTCCAACACCTTGTATAGATGCTAAAAGTGATGGAAGTAAAGATGTAAGACTTTCACCAAAATAAAGTGCATTAAGTAATTTTGAATTATATCGTTTCATATAATCAGCATATGTAACTGTTGATGTTGTATCTAAAGTACCAAGTAAAAAGACTAATATAATAAATATAACTGAACGTTGTCGACCAGCAAAATAATGTGTTTTATTCCAATATTCAGCCATTAAAGCACAAGATATTATTCCAACAATAATTTCAATATAAATAAATATTCGTTCATTAAGATGTTCTTTAAAACAAATTTTTAATAATATTATTATTAATGGTCCAATATTGCTAATTGCAATAGCAAGTGTTAAATAAGATGGTAATGCCCAACCTTCAGGTGCTTGATTAACTATTAATGGAAGTTCAACCCAAACACCATTAACATCAAGCCAAGTTGATAATGCAAATATAGTTAGAAGCAAAGCAGTTAAATAAAAACTCTTGTCAGGTTGCATCTAGATTTTAAAATTAATCAAAGGTGTACAGGAAAAAAATATATACACGAAGAACCAAATAATTATTTTGTTCTACTTCTACAAATGAAAATGAATATAGAGTATTTTCAAGTGTCTTATGAGCAATTATATTTTATATCAAGAAAATTTAAAAACACTACATACATCATCAAATATTTGTATCTATATAAAAAAAAGATTTTGTTTAATTTTTATGATATAGGTCGAGTAAGAAATTTGTTTGACTAACGTTTTTCTTTTCTTGTCATGTCATTTTACTGATAAAACGTCATAGAAAACAGAACAGTTCGAAGAGAACAGAAAAATAAATTAGAACAAAAATCTATTACGCATAAGATATATATATATTTTTTTTTATTCTGTTTCTGTTATGTGTCATTTGATAAAAACTATGTTGATATCTATTATGGGAATAATAAAGAAAATCAAAATCTGATTACATCAACATGCCAGATGTTTTTTAATTATATTAATGAACATATTATTTTTCAAATATAATTCGATTGTCTACATTGAACTATTTCTTATTGAAATATTCTTTTGACAACAAAACAGGCATTTGTCTAAGCATAACTTAAAATGTTTGGTATGTGAACTTAATCAAATCTAATTTTCCTCTCATATTAAGTATTCACATATTTGACAAATTCTTGTCTTATGTAATTATAATACTAAGAAAAAAGGTTTATCTTTTTCTTCATTTTTAATTAACCTTTGTAACATATCAAACATTATGCGTTCTCTTCCAATTACCTGTTGTAGGTGTGAAATAATTATGCATCATACAGAATAATCTAATATAAAAACGTAGTTTTAGATAAGATAAAATCTAAGAAAACAAAAAAACGCCTAACGATATGTGACCGTCATCTTCACATATTCATACATATTTCGTTATTTAGTGACTATTCCTTAATATCACAAACATTTGATAACGATTATCTATTAATAGAACAGAAAACGTATAATATATTTAATAACTAAGAACGAAAATTTTGTTTTTTGTTCTATAATGAAATAAATGAAAAATAATGAGGACATACCATAGACAAGTGATCATGGCAGAATATCCTTGCATTGTGATTGTACAGAATTCAATATAATTTAGAAAAAAATCTTCGAAATGTATTTAAAAAAAATTATATACTTAATTTGATTAAAAAAAAGTCGTGTAAATGTAATGAAGACTATCTAGAAGATCTCTATAAAAGAAAACAAACAAAAAGTAATATGAAAAATTTATTGCATTGTCACATATTAGAAGAATTTATTTTAAAAACTAAAAAGAATCAAATTCTAACTCTAAATAAAGATATATTTCGATTAATTGTTAGATTTTACTTTTCTTCAATAACAAAAAAAAGAAAATTAACTACAATCCAAAATTGTTCTTTAATGAAGAACCATGATAATCAATTTAACATGAATTTTACAATCACATGTCAAAGGTCTAGCAATTATGAGATAATGAAAAAAACTTATTATAAAGTAAATATTCAAGATTCTACGATACACAATCAAATGATGGTCGAATTTCAAAAAAAAATATATATATTTTATGTAACAATTAACTTGATATCTGAACCTGAACTAAATCTGTATTATTTTTTCTCAAAAACTTGAACAATTATTTTGTGGATAAATATGGATCAATAAGAAGAAACTATACATTTGTCATTGAAATCAATGTATATGTTTTGAACAATGATTAATCGAATCCCATATTGTCACTTATTTGAAGATACCGCCGGTTTACGGCGATTTCACTAATACTATCGATAAACCTGCAATTAATCGATCACTCTGTAGCTTAATCTAATTCTATAGATAATTGAATTGGTAGTGTAATTGTTGTTAAACTTCGTATTTTTTTTCCTCAATATAGACAGTTATGAAAATTACAAGTGTGTATGTATCGAAAACAGAGCACTATGAACTTTTTGATAGGTGCCGCTGTAAAATATTTCCCATTAGTCAAAAGATTTCTATACTATCAACAGTGTATTTTGAACTTAGAATAAGGCCCCGAACAGACCGACTAATTCAAAGTGAATTAAAACGGAATTAAGAGATATGATTGGTGTTGCTAAGTAGAAACACCAATCATATCTCTTAATTCCGTTTTAATTCACTTTGAATTAGTCGGTCTGTTCCGGGCCTAAGCGAGTAGAATATAATACGACCTTATCCAAAATACTGACATATTGTAAGACTCTACTACAATTTATTAACATGTTCATCGTCGCACTTCTTGTGATATTAAATGTGCCAAACATTAATAACATATTATCAAAAACTAATGTGAAGATAGATAGATCTTTAGGAATCAATAACTACTGATAGAATATAGATCAAACAAACCGATGTTTGACTGCAATAAAATCTTCAACTGTACGATCTATTTATTAATGCTTTTTGCGCAGTTTGCATCATATAAAAATCTGACATTAAGTGAAAGATGTTTTCGTTGGATCATATAAATAGAGTAATAGCAGTATAAGAAGTATTATAATTCATCGAGTACTATAAATAGTTGATTTCATCATAAAAGAAGGAGGCACATAAAGTTTTACGACATGATTTATGATTCGTAAAAAACATTAAAAAACATGATCAGTAACTGTAGGTTCTACTAAATAGGAAAAGCCGCCCTTTCGATTTATAGAACAAGATGAAACATACAGTCCTCTGAAAAATAATGATTATTTCTTTTTTTCAAGCATGCATTAATAAAATGATAAATTAAATGAGTTAAAGAGTTATGTATTGACTATATTCATTGTTGATTCTTATTATAAAGAAAAACTTAAAAGTAAGTTCTTTGATGAACACACATCATTAAATTTTGGAAAAGCATATTGCTTACTTTTCCTGGTTGAATAAACATCAAAGTACAATAAAAATTTATAATTTGCAAATTTTACATACAACATATTACAAAAAAATCATTCTGTTCTTATGTTTTATAAATTCGTAGTAGAAGAAGACGCATAAAAGAGCATTGACTTTCAATGAAAGATTCAAAAAAAAACTGAAATTTCTTTTGAACAAAATAAAAAGTAAATACTCAAATAGATGGACATTGAGTAAGCTATAATTGCATATATGTGTCACAAATATCGATCTGGTTAGATGTCACCAAGGACAAGTTTAGATAATAACATGTGAAATAGTTTACAAAAAAGAAGGTTTCTAGATATATTTCCAACTTTCCTGAAAGCACATGAATTTATCAAGTTAACTATTCCCTATCTTAAATGTAGAAAGATTAAGTTTGATGATCGTCCTAACGAAAGTTATTGTCATAATCGTATATAATTTTCACCTGTATCCCATTGTCTAATGTCATGTTATTGGATGAACAAGACATATGTGCACAGAGTATCATTGAGATTTAAATACATAGTTAAGTAAGATTTCTTTGAAAATAAATATTTAGAAGAGCATATGAAAATTGAATTTCTATTTTAGTGACTTATAAAAAGACAGAATCATCGTCTTACTAATCCCTATAAACTAATTGATATATTTGAAAATTGTTCAGTTAAGTTAATCAAAAGATTATGCAAGTTAATCTATTTATATTACAGTCAGTTATATCTCTCATACCACTTGATGAAATGAAAAAAAAATGTGAAATTTATTGATATATTTATTCAGTTAATTAATTGTACAAAATATCATACTGCTTAGGGTAATCCAACAGTGATGAAGAAAATATATTATGTCCGTAGAGGCAGTTTGAGAAAACTTTCTTCTTATATGTAGTCATGGTAAAAACGATTCTCATTTGATCATTGTTCAACTAATATTATGATAATATAATTTTGATAAGAGTTCTGTAGTATAGCATATGAAGATAAAACTAAATCATATTGTCTTCGATGTGTATTCTCCTTTTGCTCTATCACACTCCCATTAACACCTAGGTTCTTCTCCTGAAAAGCTTGTCATCATTATTAGTCTTTTGTACAGGAATGTTGTACAAATATTGATAATTATGAGTTCCCTTTCATGAATTGAAAACGAATAATTTTTCTAATTTCTTATTTTTTTTGCACAAGTAATGTTGGTCTAAAACAATACGCTCAACAAAAACACGATGTAATATTTTGTAGATGTCTGTATTTTATGCTTAGAAGTGAATAGTATTTAGTATTGATGTTTTTTTTAGCAAAAACATCTTCTCAATTATGATAATTTTAATGTTCGACGTCAATAGAAAACCTGCGAGCAGATATACTTGTCTTTTTGCATTACCAATAATCAAGCGGCACAAAAATATATGAATTACAAGTCACAGAGATATCTGTTTTTAATTACAAATAAGGCTTCATCTTCTCTAGACTGGACATGCATTTTTCTTTACTAGAATATAGATTGAAAGGAAAATTTATGACATTGTTCCTGAATAATTTTCATTTATGGCGGCAAAAACTTGTTTTCTATTCGTTGTCCTTCAAATGGTCTAATGTTGTTTTTGATAACGTCGTCGCTAAGGAGAGAAGTAACCGAAGCGATTAATCAGCTTTGAGTTCAAACTCTGTACATAAGGTAGACCACAGTAAGATATGAAAACCTGCCCAAAAGGATAAAGGCCCATAGGTCTTCCCTCCAGAGTAATAGGCATTTTACTGGAATGTTAGCCTATAGCACAGTATATGCTAACAAATCGAATGATGATATTTCGGCCTGAAATTTCGTCTGAAGATAGATCTATTTGTAAGTAGAATGCCCTGAAATTTTCAGCTAAAACAAAATGTTTTCTTCACAAGATGTTGAATTCCCAAAAATCACTCATTTGTCATGAAAGATGTGAGAGTCTTCTGTCCTTTTGGAAATTCAATATCTTGTGAAGAAAACATTTTGTTTTAGCTGAAAATTTCAGGGTATTCTACATACAAGTAAAAACAATCTTCAGACAAAATATTAGGCCAAAATATCGTCATTCGATTTGTTAGCGTATACTGTGCTAAAGGCTAACATTCCAGTAAAATGATTATAACTCTGGAGGGAAGGCCTATGGGCCTTTTGCATCATAATGTCATTGACCAAAACATTCGACATACGGTCAGTGAGACTCAATGTTTCAGTAAATTGAATCTCTTAGTTTGAAAGAGCACAAGTGGGTAGAATAATAATGGCAGGTAGCTTTTTAGATTACATTAAATTTGTTGAAATAAAATTTTTATAGAGACTAATTTCCACTTACCTTAGATTGAGAGAAATATTGTACTTCATCAAATGATGTATTTGAAATTATGTTTCTGAATCACTATGTTATACGTATGGAAATCTGTTTTTGTAAGGAACAATATTTATTAGAATTCATATGTTAGAAAGATGAAGAAAGTAAATATGAAAAATATTTTTCAGCTGCTAAAAAGTTATTTTATATGTCTAAAGATACTTTAGTTTGAAAAATAAGTTAGCGTTTAAATAGACTTCTTAATAGAATTGTTTTCATCAATATTAATTGGAATTGTTTAGTTTCGGTCTATGATTCATATGTTTCTAACGCAATCATGCGAATCTTAGTGACACTAGAATGATAATGGAATTTTTCGAAGTTCAGAGGCCTACACAAAATTTTATCTTAAGATTTTGTCAAACGGTTTTATTGGAACACTACTTAAATGTTACTGGCTTTATGGGAATATAGCTTGATGATGCATACAAATTATCAACTTTGGAAAAGATTTATGAAGATGTAAAATTTGCTTTTACTATATAAAGACCCGTTAAATCATGTCTTTCACACTTTGGAAGTTACGAGAAATCATCAATAATGATTTCAATAAAAGTAATCTATTTAAATATAAAAATATGCTTCGGCTTTTACCAATTTAAATATGCTTGTACATTCATTAATAAACGAGTGATAAAGTTTAAATTAAATAAGTAGAAAAAAATATTCTATGAGATATCGATTTTTCCTGTTAATTCATCCTCGAAGTTTCGTATCACAAAATTCGTAATAGAGAGAAATATGAATGCCAACTACTTGTACTACGTGGTGTTTCTTTAAAATAATTCTTGTTTTATTGCAAAACTATAATCACAATGAATTATTTTTTCACATTTATTTTTCTTATTCTCATCATATCATAAATGTATTTCAAATAATGAAGCAACTAGTTTACATTCCTTATAAACTTCATTTTATGAGATATGTGATTGAATTCATATATCACTTTGAATCTTTACTGTTTACCTATAAATAGATCTCGGAAATACTAAAAGAAAATTCACTATGTCTATCATATGCCGTCCACTATCGAAAAACATAGGATTTGATTTTATTCTCCGATTAGGAAGACGATGGCGAGATTTTTCTTTTCGTAAAATGTTGCACTTTCTATCGAATTTTTAACCCATTCTACTTTGGGAAAATCTGGAATTGACTCAAATTTTCTCTCTCCTATGTTGATCTAAAGATCCTTAGAAGATTCTGAACGCTTTAATCAAAAAAGTTGTTTATTTGACTCAAATGTTTCGCAATACTTTGAAAGCCAAGGTTTTTTCGAATGGCACAATTATTCACCTATAAATTGGATATATTTCAAAAGAAATATTCTATCTAATTGAAATTTTTTAAAAACTCTGGTACACGTTAAAACCAAATTATTAGATTCAAATTATTTCATGACAGTTGTCGCCATTTTCGAACACACAGTAAATATTCATCTTATCAAAGGTTTATGACACGACCAATGATAAGAAGCGAACGAAAAAAAAGCAATCTTAGTAGTTACGTGCAGTTGTTGAGTTTTCATTTGTGTTCTTTTTACTCTTATCGTCGATCATCTTTGCTCTTTGAAACGTATTTTACTTATTGCATCTTATGGCTTCAAATAAACAAGTTCTACGCCACGTTGTCTTATTAAAATTCAATGAAAATACATCAGCAGCCGATATAACACGACTTGAAAATGAATTTCGTACATTAGCAACAGTCAAAGTTTCTCAAGTCAAGGAATATGAATGGGGTACAAACGTCAGCAAGGAAAATCTTGATCATGGATATACTCATTGTTTCATACTGACATTTGCTAATGAAAAAGATCGGGATATATATGTTGATCATGAAGATCATGTGGCTTTTGTCAATATCGTAAAACCACATTTGGCTGAAGTAACTGTGGTTGATTTTTGGGCGAATAGTTAAACTTAATGTGTTATTATAAATATTTTAATAAGAAAATAAAATACTATTTGATTTATCATAATAGAAGATTTCTAAATATGTAAACTAATTTTGTGAAATCATAGTCCATTAGTTAGAAATACCATAAAACTATGAGAGGATATTTTTTTTTTTCTTCCTCAGCTTTATAGGAAGGAAACTTGAGTTTTTTTTTTATTTTGATTAATTTTTCATGAAAGAAAAAAAAATAATCCATGAATGAATAATTTTAGACGAATCATTCATTGGAAACATAACAAATCAAAGCATATATAGTTTAGAAATGTATCTAATAAAGCAAAGAGTAAACAAAATCATCGTAGTGTATAATTATGAAGGATAAAGATTTTTGTCAAGTAGGATTAATATTATCGGGTGGGTCAAAAGTCATCGGGGAGTTTTTCATTGTAAATAACTTTTTTATAGAAATAATAAAGGTAGCTAGGATTTTCACTGTTAGACAGAAAAGACATGGAGACATCGAACCATAGAGAAGAAACATAATATTCATATTTTTTTGGAAAGTTTTTGAAGAATCAAGATTAAACAAAATGGTGTACTTAGAATTTAAAATGTTATAGGAATTTCGAAAATCTCAGTTTTGGTTAAAATCTCTGTTTTTTTAAAACCCTTGTAAAAATGTTTTTCAATATTATGTTTTGTTATATGATTCCATGCCCTCAAATCTTCTCTTTTCAACGATGAAAATCACAGCTTTCTTTCTTGTTTCAATCAAACGTTATTCGTAGTGAAAAGCTATTCGATGACTTTTGGGTCACCTTGTACACTTCTAAAACTAATTATGATCTCAATATTGAAATAACAAAAAAAAAGAAAAATTTTTCGTGTCAATTAGAGAAACTAGTTTTAAAATTTTTTTTTCCTAGTGTAAGTTTCTTCTAATTTCTTTTATGAAACTAATCTAAAAAAAAGTCATAGTGATCAAATTAGCTTCAAATATACATATAAAATCATTCGATATGTAATTATCATGATTAACACATTGATAATACAATATATTCTGTTGATTATAATATTTTCATGATCAAATGATTGACTAGGATTAGATTAATAGATTCATGCTGAACGAAAGCATAGAATTATGATGAAGATTTTTCAAATGCTCAAGAGGACTCTAGTAGACAGCATCAACGTACTGCTTTTTTTATTGGTTTTTACATTGTACGAGTAATAAATGAAAGAACACATACACAAAGTACACAAGAAATGTTGATGTGTTAATATATGGACTTATCGTACGTTTTTTACTTTCTAGGAAGAGTGCAGTTAATTTAATGATCAGTCATTGGCGTTCTCGAAAGTACGATTAATAGTTTTTTTTATAGGATGCACACACACTCTATTCGCTGATTACTTTGATTTCAGCATAGGAAACATTTTCATGTTGGTGAGGGTTCGTGTATATCTTGTAGAAATAGACGATTAGTTAATAAAGATTTTATTGCTAAAATTCTTTTATTTATAGTTTCTCTTTAATTCGTTTAATTGTTAATATGGCTCAACAAGAACAACAACGTTTTGTTAATCGTTTAGCAAACGAAAAATCTTCTTATCTTCAACAACATGCACATAATCCAGTTAATTGGTAACAAAAAGAAATATAACAAAAAAGAATTCTTTATTATTATATTCATTTCAGGTATGCATGGAGTCAAGAAGCATTTGAGAAAGCTCGTCAAGAAAATAAACCGATCTTTCTCTCAAGTAAATCGAAACTGTTTGATTTTCTTTGATAAAAAGACACAAACTTCTTCTCTAGTTGGTTATAGTACTTGCCACTGGTGTCATGTAATGGAACATGAATCGTTTGAAAATAATGAAATTGCAAAAATACTTAATGATCATTTCGTATCAATTAAGGTTGATCGAGAAGAACGTCCTGATGTCGATCGAGTCTATATGACATATCTTCAAGTAACTATTTTCTTCTATTATTTGGCTTTATTTCTTTTGTTTGGTTTTTAGGCAACACAAGGTGGTGGTGGTTGGCCATTATCTGTTTGGCTCACTCCACAATTACAACCATTTTATGCTGGCACATATTTTCCACCGACTAATGAACATCGATATGGTAGTCCTGGTTTTAAAGAAATTTTACTGAATTTAAATAAAGCATGGTCAACAAAATCAAATGAAATTATTGATGGAAGTAAAGATGCAATACAACAATTGACGAAAGCTGTAGAAAAACAAGCAGTTAGTACAGAAAATAATCCTGATTTACCGGCAAATACAAGTATACAAACATGTTTTGCTTATTTTGCTAATGATTTTGATGATGATAATGGTGGTTTTGGTACACATCCAAAATTTCCTCAACCGGGTATGTCCAAAAGAAAACTCTTTTTTTTTTGTTGTCAAAAAATTTTCTTTATTAATCAATATTTTCTATAGTAAATTTTAACTTTTTATTAACACATGCTGCGTTAAGTCATCAAGCAAAAGGAAAACCAGATGTTGCTCGATTAGCTATTGATATGACTCAAATGACATTAAAAAAAATGTCTTTAGGTTATTAATTTTATTTATTTATTAAATACAAATCTTTGAAATTTATATATATATATAGGTGGAATCAATGATCAATTAGGTAAAGGTTTTCATAGATATTCAACAGATGATAGATGGCATGTACCTCATTTTGAAAAAATGCTTTACGATCAAGGACAACTGACTGCATCATTAGCTGATACATATGCTGTAAAACAAATAATATTTCTATGAATAAATAACTTTATTACTTGTTTTTTCTATTAAAGATTACCAAAGATGAACTTATTGGTCAAACATTACGAGATCTAATTTCATATGTTGAACGTGATCTACGTCATAGTAAACATGGAGGTTTTTATTGTGCTGAAGATGCTGATTCATTACCGACGAAAAATGATACGAAAAAAAAAGAAGGTTAGAAAAATTTAATAATAAACTAATATTAAATAAAGATATATTTTTGTAAAACATAACCGCTCATTACAGTATATTAATTACTTCCTTATTGTATTACGTGAGAATTAAACACACGGTAGGTAAAGAAATGAGATCCAAGAGAGACAAAATAAAACAATTTTTCTATAATTAGTAACAGCAGTTACATTGTGTTTTACATTTTAATTATTGCAGGGATAGCACTAACAGCTGTTTCTGTTTATATTTAGGAGCATTTTATGTTTGGAATTATGATGAATTATATAAAATTTTACCTGAAAAACATGCTGATATTTTCTGTGCTTATTATCAATGTAAGAAAAATGGTAATGTTGATCCTATGCAAGTAAGATAAAATTTGTGTTAGTTTATATCTAGTTTTAATTCTAAAGGATCCTCATGATGAATTAAAACATCAAAATGTTCTTATTACAAATGGTAACCTTCAAACTATTATGGAGAAATTCAAACTTCAAAATATTACGGAAGTAAAAGAAATCTTGGCTAAATGTCATGAAATTCTTCTTGCTTATCGTAATGAAAATCGACCACGACCACATCGTGATGAAAAATTTCTTGCTTCATGGAATGGACTTATGATAAGTGGCTTAGCTCGTGCTGCTCGTGTACTTCAAGAACCTAAATATACTCAACTTGCTGAACAAGCAATTACTTTTATTCGTACTCATCTTATTGATTCTTCAACAAAACGACTTTTACGTGCATGTTATATTGATCAAAAGACAAATCAAATTGAATATACGTAAGATTCTTCATGAAAGAAATTCATTAGGCTTTCTAAACTCCAGAAATGATCTCACTAGTTATGGAGCGATATGGTATAATTTGATTTTTATATAAGATCAACCATTAAAAAGCTTCAAAAGATTATAAACACTTAAAAGCTAATGTTTTACTATGCATCTTTGAATTAAAAACAAATTAAACATCAAAGTTCAATATCCAATGAACAAATATGTATAAAATATTTCCTTACCTTTTGGGTGTTGGATAAAAGACAAAAATAGAAACAAAGAAAGTTTTTTTAGCACAGATATCTCTAAATTAGTTTCTTGTTTGGGTGTTTTAGTGTCGTAGAGGCAGAGTCATTAGTTCGAATAGAATTTCTGAGACTTGCAGGCTTGGTTTTGATGTTATCGATCATGTAGCGTCAAGTAATTGAAACTTAGTTTTCCCGACAAATAAATGTATGGTTGTTTAATGAAGACTTATGTCTGCGCATGACGGAAACATGACCTCACATTCCGTGCATCGAAGAGCATTGTTTTGTCTTTCTTCTTTAAGCAGTTGAATTGTATGTCCTGCTATAGTGAGTGGCTAATTCAAGAGCAAGACTGAATAACTTTCGGTAGTTCAAGGACTCCTTGCACTATTTCAAAACCTTGGTGAAATCTATGAGCGTCCAAGAACATCCTCGACAGATGGGCACAGTGAACATTCATTACATGGAAATTATTATCCATGTACTGATTGATGAAATAGATAAAAGAAGGAAAGGCAAACATACAGATCATGGCCGATGAAAAGAGAAATTAACAGAAGAATATGAAAGTAATGATTACAGTCTTTATAAAACTTTGTTTTACTCTTATAGAGAATCAAAAGTAAACGGATTTTTGGATGATTATGCTTTTATAATACAAGCTTGTATTGATTTGTATGAAGCAAATCTTGATGATGAACTATTGGTATTTGCTTATGAATTACAAAAACAACAAGATGAATATTTTTGGGATACAACTAAAAACAGATATTTTAGTACAGATGGTAAAGATTCTTCAATCATTTTACGACTATACGAAGGTGCTGATGCAAGACGACTATTTTTTTTTTAAATTTAAATTTTTCTTTTTGTTTTTAGATCAGGATGGAGCTGAACCATCACCAAATGGAATATCAGCACTTAATCTACTTCGTCTTAGACATTATTTTGATGATTCATCTTTAGATGATCGTCTTCGTTTGATATTTAAATCTTATGTTGGTGAATTAAATAAAATACCAATGGCAATGCCAACATTGATTCGTTGTTTTGATATGTATACTCATGGTATCAATGAAATTATAATTCAATCATCTAATCAAGCAGAAATTCATCGTATTATTCAATATATTCAAGCATCATATGTTCCAAATACAATATTGATTCATATGAATAAAACTAATCATAAACTCCTGCAATATAATCAACAATTAAAATCTTTTATGGATGAAAATAATAAACAGACAAGAATTTTTCTTTGTCGAAATTTTCAGTGTCAATTACCTGTAACATCTTTTGAAGAATTTAAAAAAAATTTTGATCCTTTAATTTTAAAATATGAATAAAGAAAAACTATTTTTTTGTTTCAGTCTTTGTATATCTATGTATAGATTATTATTAGTTGATTTATGTCGAACAGTAAGTCAACGTTTTATAACAACAACACCATCAAGAATTTCACCAATAGGTGATAAACCTATTCAATTATATTCATTAGCTACACCAAATGGACAAAAAATAGGTATTGCACTTGAAGAATTTGGACTTGAATATGATGCACATTTAATTGATATAAGTCAAGATATTCAATACGGTAAAAAAAAAGAAAATTTTTTTAAAATTTTAACAAACAAATAAAACAAACTAATATAATAGAGGATTGGTTTAAAAAGTTAAATCCAAATTCAAAAATTCCCATTCTTGTTGATCGTCAACCTATTGGTAATCATAAACAACCAATAACTATATTTGAAAGTGGTGCAATTTTAATTTACCTTGCTGATAAGACAGGCAAATTTCTTGCATCCACAGGTACACATCAACGATATGAAACAATTCAATGGCTTATGTGGCAAATGAGTGGTGTTGGACCTATGTTTGGACAAGCTAATCATTTTCATAGAGCAGCTAAAGAGGATATCGTCTATGCTAAAAATCGTTATTTAAATGAAGCTAAACGTTTATTAAAAGTACTTGATACACAATTAGCTAAAACAAATGCATTTGTTAGTGGCAGTGATTATACAATAGCTGATATAGCTACGTTTCCATGGGTACGGTTTTTTATAAAAGTTTATAAAGATAAATTAGATGAAAATGCTTACTCAAATATTGAAAAATGGTTAACACTAATTGAAGGTCGACCCCAAGTACAAAAAGGCCTTAAGGTCTGTTCTAAAAATGCCTAAAATAGTATTTTTTTTTTATATGTATTTCTTTTTCTTCTACGTATATTTATACTTAGTCATATCATTCAAATAAATATTCACTCAATAAAACTTATCTCTCTCTCTCCCTTCCTTTATTTTTAATTCATCTAATACGTTCATATTTCAGATATGTCACTTCGCATCGACCAAAAACGTTTTTTTCTTGATACATATAGAACTCGAAATAAAGATTCAGTAACAAATACAGAACAAGCTGATTGTGAACAGGCTGTTGAAAAACTTTTTCAAGATTTTCTTAAGCAAAAATCAATTTCTGGATTAAAGTAAAAGCATAAATATATTATTCAAATAAAGACAATGAATCTTATTTATTTTTAATTTTTTTCAGAGGTCCTACTCTCCATCGAGATAAACATGTAACATTTTTGCTTAAAGGTCTTCGTCATTTGTCACGTACTTATGAAGTATTTACATTTCATTACAAAACGAAAACAACTCATTTAAAATTTTTTTTTTTTCATTAGTCACTTGACGCTAGCCGACCATGGCTTATCTATTGGATTACTCAATCTTTATATTTATTAGATGAACAATTGTCTGATTCGTTTATCAATGAGTAAGTCTCTTTTCAAGTATTATTAAGAAAATATTGAGTTGAATTGTTCTGTCCCTTTTTTTTAGTATTTGTGACTTTTTACAACGGTGTCAACATCCAGATGGTGGCTTTGGCGGTATGAAAAGAAGCATAGAGTGTCTAGAATGTTACTTATCAAAAAGAAAATCGTACATCTCAATTAAGATTAAACTAACCCAGAGACTTCTTTTTATAAGATAAAGTTAGAGTTTATAAATACGTCTGAAAAATATAACTTTTGGATCTAATGTATTAAAAAAATCTTTTTTTTATCAAGATTCGGTAAGCAAAAAAAACAGAGCTTTCTGCTAGATTTCTTGACTTTTTTCTTTATTCTGGGGCTTTCGCCATGTCGGTATTTTTCTCTTACTTTATAAATATTTGAATGACACTATTTTTTTAGATTAGAGACATTAGTCTTAAATTTGTTGATTACGAAAATTCTAAATTTTATAACTTAAGTGTCATATAAATATTTGTAAAGTATGAGAAGAATATTGGCATTGCAAAAAGTCTATAATAACGAAACAAATTTAAGCCATTCAAAATAAAACTCTACCTTTTGTTTTTCGAAACTCGATAATAGAAATATTTTATGCATTGAATCTCAAGGTGAGAGTTTTCCAAAATATTTATAAACTCGACAGCTTTATGAATATAAAATTTCAAGTCTCGTACAAAAAAGTTATTTGACTACAGCTTAACCGTATTTGAGACGTACAGTTTCCTTTTTTGATGGGTAAAGTTTAGAATACGTTGTATATTTCTTAAAATAAAAATATTTTCTCATCATAAAAACTAGAGATGGGATTAATTTGGTTCGCAGTATTTCAAATCAGCTTCGATTTAAATTTTGAAAAATCGAAACCGGTTTCATGTCTAATATAAAAGATTAGAGGAGTACTAAACTACTAAAATAAACTTTTATTATTATTTTATAAAAAAAAAACATTGAGTGTATACATTTAATATTTTCTTTCAGGTGGCCCTGGTCAAATAGCTCATTTAGCTCCAACTTATGCTGCTGTTAATGCTCTTTGTTTATTACGAAGTGAAAAAGCGTATCAGATTATTGATCGGTATGTTTTTTTTTTGTTAATTATCTTGTTTTCATCATTATCTTGAATTTTAATTTTTGAAATTTTCTAGTAAAAAATTATCAACATGGTTATACACAATACGTGATCCATTGAATGGTAGTTTTAGTCTTCATATCAATGGTGAATCAGATATTCGGTAAGAAAATAATCAAAAACAATTTTGTTTCAATATTAAATTTCAATATTTTTTAGTGCAACATATTGTGCTGCAAGTGTAGCTACTTTATGTCAATTAGAAGATCGAGCTGAACTTTTTGAAGATACTGCTGAATGGGTTGCAAGGTATGATGAAAACAATGTATTTTAATTAAACAAATAAACATGTTTTTCTTAGTTGTCAAACATATGAAGGTGGTTTTGGTGCATGTCCAGGTGCTGAAGCACATGGTGGATATTCATTTTGTGGTTATGCAACACTTTTATTACTTGATCGAGAATCACTTTGTGATCGTGAAAGTTTACTTGTATGAAAATCAAAAGATGATAGTGTTGAAAATATCTTGATTTTTTTTTATTTAAATAGAGATGGACTGTTAATCGACAAATGATATTTGAAGGTGGTTTTCAAGGCCGTACAAATAAACTTGTAGATGGATGTTATTCATTTTGGGTTGGTACACTTTTACCACTTATTCAAGCTGTTCAACGAAAAAAACTTATACATGATAATCAAGGTTATTATGATAGTTTTTATGTTTTATTTCTAAAATAAATCTATTTAAAATTTTAGATGTTGTTATTAAAAATCATGAACAACTTTTTGATACAAGTAAATTTTTTTTTTTTTTGAAAAAAAAAGAAAAGAATCTATTTTTTTTATTAATAAAACTTTTTGTTTCAGTTGCTGCTCAAGAATATGTTCTTCTTTGTTGTCAAGAAGATCAAACAGGTGGCTTTACTGATCGACCTAAAGTTAATTCACGGTGAAGAATTAATTTCATTAATCTTTCTATTTTTATTTTTGTAAATATTAAACTTTTTATTTAGTGGTAGTGATTTTTATCATACATGTTACTGCTTAAGTGGCCTTAGTTTATTTCAAGATGATGGACAAGATCAAACATCAATAATATGTGGCGATCATGAGAATAAATTAGTAAGATATAAAAAATAAGATTATTCTATAGATGATAATTTTGTTTCTTTTTATCTTCTAGCGCAATACGCATCCTTTGTTCAATATTGGTCCCGAATGTGCCCGAGAAGCTATGGAATACTTTTCACAACAGAAACAGTAGTGCTACTTTGATCTTTTTCTTTTTCTCCTTTTTCCGTTCTTTCCACCATTATGAAATAAAAAAAAAAAAAGTGATTCGTCCCTTCATATTTGCTTTTTTTTTTCTCTTTTTTTCCATCCTTTATCACATAGGCGTTACATGCGTTGCCAGTATGCGTGTCTGTTCTTTGCCCGCTAATGGTGATGTCATAGACCCTTGTGATCGAGACGTGCACATCAACACGATCCTCATATAAATATAAGACGTTTATGCACAGAATAGCGACAGAACAGATGCTTGCCCGTCGATTTTGTTTCTCTCGTTTTTTTTTCTTTCTTTCTTCCTAATAGCTGTTTCGCCACCACCAACAACAGCCACAGCGGTTGTCAAAGTGTACGTACATGCCGAGCAATGAAATATAGGATTCAGCGCCACTATTTTTCTCTTCACCCAGGCCAAACGACAGAGAAAGAGAGAGAGAGAGAGAAAGAAAGAGAGAAATCAGTGGGTATATATATATATAGATCGTCCGTCTTAATTGTTTGGGAAAAAATCTCTCTATATGTCTTGTTGTCATGGTCACTATTCGTTGATTTGTTACAGTGTTCATTTATTTTTTAGCCATTTATATGCAAGGTTTGTTTTTTCTTTCTATTTGAGAAAAAAATGCACGAGTTCTTAGTGTTCGTCTTTGATTGCTTGAGCAAGGAGAAAACAATTTTTCGGTTTCTTTTTTAAGTAAGAATCAGAGGAAAAATCATAGATCGTCTAAAAATAAGTTGTTGTTGTTGTTTTTGCTTTGTTATTGTCGTTGTATTTGCGCGTTAAAAGGGCAAAATGCATCTTGATACTTCGACGACAAGAAACAGCACGAGATGAGACAAATATAGAAGAAAATAACATATGTTGTTATATCATCCTTGGTTTTTTTTTTGTTTTTTAGATTAACTCTTTTCTCTCTCTCTTAACTTGACTTTTGCAATCATCTTTTCAATCTATCGATGGCTACTGGCAATGGTTCTTTCAAATCATTACCAAAACACATGAGTGATTCATGGATAGTTATTGATGATCATCCAGAGGAATCGGATTTTGTGGTCATCGAAGATGTAGATGATAAACAACGGCCTCCCATACCATTAATTCCATCGCCGAAAGCTTCACCACAAATAAAACGACCATTAGCACAAAACAATAATGATAATAATAAGCCGCCGAATATGTCTCAAACATATTCTGGTGTTAAACAAAATAAAAAACGTAAATGGAAGGTGCTTTATTCATTACCATCAACAAGTGTTACAGCAAATGTTGATGATTCAAATCTTGATGCGTATGTTATGGATCAACATGCACAATTACTCGACAAACGTGATTTATTTAGTAATCAACAACGCATTGTTAAAGTCAAATGATTTTTTGTTTTTTTTTTCATGATAATCAAAGCCAAAGCTAGATTAGACTTAGTTCTTGTTTCTTTTTACAAGTCCGATTCCCATTTCTTTTTGAACATAGTGCTGTAAATTAGCGAACATATCTTTTGCCTATAAACTAATACTTCCTCATTTATATATACATATATATATATATTATATTATTTTTTTTTTGGAGTTTTTTTTCCTTGTTTGCTATACGTGTACATTTCTATTGTTCGTCTTATTTTTGTCTAGTGTTTTCTGTTCTTTGTATGACGATCAAAAATATGGCAGATATGCGTGCGTGAGTAAGAGATCGATTTTGAAAACGACGGAAAACATCAAGCAGAAATATTCTTTTTATATCTTCATTTTTTTGTATAGCGTATGTTTTGACTGAATTGATCACGGAGAGATTAGAGAGCGAGTGTATTTATGTATGTATTAATGTTTGTTTATTCAAGTCTTTGTATGTATATGTACGATTTTTGCATCTATTGTCATCGTTCTAGAATACCTATGTAAATAACAGAAAAAAACATAATGAACGAAGTAAAATAACTGCACAAAAACATAGGATAGCAAGTGTAAAAGTTAAATAGTGTAACTAAGAATAAATTTAGAATAAAAAATTAAACTTAATACTTAGAAAAATTCATATGAATTAAAATAACGATGCTTTGCATATATATATATATTATATTATCAATATATTCAAGGGTTTATTTCTTATATAAGAGCTAAATGTAGCTTGATATTATTCATACCATTGTCTTCACGAAATATCATTTAGTGACGATACTTGAAAGATACATTCTCAGGTTGACAAGGTGATAACAAAATACCTTTTTATATGATTATTTCACAACGTTTATTTTATTCAGTTTATTATATTAAAATAAGATTTCGTTCTTATTCTCCTAACGGCGGTTGAGTGTAAAGTTTGGGTCAATATTGACAAAAAATAACAAAACCATACTATAAATACTGAGTTGAAAGGTAGTAATGCATCAATGAAAAATATGTAGGTTAATGCGCAAATATGTTTGCCATGAAAAGCGTGTTTTTTAATATTTTTTTAGTGATAAGAATACACTTTGCGAATCAAAAGTTGGAAAAAAAAATATTCTTACAAGTATTTTTTTTTTAGTCAGAAAAGCATGATGTCGATATCCGCTAATACTCCTGTCACTTATATATCTATAGTTATTTATTAATAGTAGCTTTAATGAGATGTCAACGGAAAAATATTCTCATACAATATTATTTACGCCTATACTCCTATATAATAATATTTCATAATCAATTTATTTTGTTAGTTAGTTGATGGAAATAAATGACATTTATTAGTATTCTCTGGTACTATGGCTAAGATAAATATCTATGGTCGACTTGTAAGGAATATACGTAAAAGGTAGTAACGTGGCCTGATGGTCTAGTGGTATGATTCTCGCTTTGGGTGCGAGAGGTTCCGGGTTCGATCCCCGGTCAGGCCCATCTTTTTTTTTGTATCTTTATAAATGATATATCATATCGTACAGTGTTTACATAGACTATCACTCTTCATGTCACGAGGTTTTGCTTATGTATTATAAGCAATAAGAAAACTGATGTCCTTATTGAATGAAATTGGACTCATTTTCTTTTATGATATTAATTATAAATTAAATGGCGCGTATCAACTAAGATCAACAGATTTTTAGTTATCTTGAAGTTAATTATTACGAAATGAATGACTTACCATTACTACCTGGTAATCGTTTTTCAGATGTAACGGTATGACTTACTAAGAAATAGATCAGCATATTGTAATATTGTACTTTAGCGTACTAATTTTATAGTTCCACGTACATTATCTTTTAAAAATGGTCATAGAATTATTCGTTTACCTCGATTTGGTATTGGTCAAACATACAAACCAAATCTTCAGTTAACTGAAGATGAACGTCAAATATTGACTAATTTTCAACCTGAACTTATCTATGGTAAAGTTAAAATACAAGAACCTCAAAAATTTGTACCAGCTGCTGTTTTCTATGATAAAAAAGTATTTCAAATTAATTCTTAAAAAAAAAACGACAAACTACAAAACCAATCGATCATAGGTACTACGATTTTATGGTTATTTCAAACAAACAGTTTATGAAAGCCCACTTGAATATTACCGTGTACGACGAGTTATTATCTATTATTATCTCGAAGATGATACTATTGCTATCTATGAAATTCCTTATCAAAACAGTGCACTTAATCAAGTATCATTTAATAAAAGATTTATTTTGTGAAATATAATTGTTTATTTTAATCGAGGGTTTACATGTTCGTCGTCATCGAGTTTCTAAAAATGATCAAAATGAACCGTATAATTGGCGTGATTTGAATCTAGGAAAAAATTTAGCTATTTATGGAACTATTTATCGATTATGCGATTGTGATCAATTTACCAGAGTATAATTTCTTTGTGTGTTTGAACGTTAAAAAATAATTAATTCTAATAGGATTGGCTTGAAAGTGAAGGTATTGAATTACAATGTCCTGAATTAATTCCATCAGATCCATATACAATGAAATTAAAGAAAAAAAATGAAATCGAAAAACAACGATTGAGTCATAATGATTTGAAAGATATTTTACCAGACCTATTGACAAACCGATGCATTATTGGTAATAAACAATTTAAAATTATGGATGGAAAAGTTTTACGATTTTATGCTATACTTGATGATCAAGATCAGCAATGTGAAATTTTGAGAAAATTTACTATTCATGTAATTTATACTTGTTTTCAAGAGAAATCTTCACGATAATCCATGGTCTGTTTACAGTTTTATTTAGTTGATCATACCATAGAAATAAGAGAAACTCATCAAGCTAATGATGGTTATGATCCAATAGGAATCTATCTTCATCGACAAATTGTACCTAAAGATTCAACATATAATATCAGTAAATAATAAAAAAGAAATAATGATGTTCTAAAAGATCTCCCTCTTTTTTGGCGATTTCTGGTTTTCAAAGAGTGTATAACTAATTCACATAAAATTTTTGTCACAGATAGAGCATCAAGAATAAGGAGATACAAGCTCGACGAAAAAAATATCAAACAAAAGGTTTTTCAGAAAAACTTTGATTTCCATAGAATCACAATTGGGCTCGCTTATGATCCCCGTCTAACTTTGTCCGATTGGGTTGAAACTTTTTTTACAGAAACCGTAGACTTATAGAAAATCAGAATTTTCCAGTTAAAGATGATGAAACTTTTGTTTGAAATTTTCTTCTCGAAAATATATCTTCTCATTTTAAATGCTCTATCTATCATAAAAATTTCATACGGATTTGTTGTACCCTCTTCGAGAACCAGAAATAATGAAAAAAGACGAGGAAGGTTCCCTTAAAAGTAAACTTTTCTTTTTCATGATTAGAATCATTTGTAAATCTTTTTATTAATAAATGTGAACAAGAAAAAATATGTTATTTAAAACCAGAAGATTTTGCTCTTGGTCGTCATATAACAATATTCAATCGTAGTTTTCTTCTATATGATTGTGATATATTTACAAAAAGCTTTTATCATCAACACTTTGGTCAATTTGATTTCACACCAATTGATATTAATAAGAAAAGATATGTTAAACCATGTGTTCCATTACCTCCTATACCACCACATATTATGTTTGGTAAACCAGAAGATACAATCCAAAATGTAAAAAATCTTATACCAAAACCAATAAAAAAAGATCGAATTAAATTAATGGAAAATGAAAATCGTTTATTACGTTATGAAGCAGTAATGGTAAGAATAAATAGACAAGAAATATTAATAATGAATTATATTTAGGAATCCGTTAATGAAACAGATGTTCAAAGAAAATTTCTTATTGTTTATCGTCTTGCTGATGATCTTATTTCTGTTTATGAAAAACCTCTTGATGGATATGGATGTTTAACAAGGAAATTTCTTGAACGTATTCGAATACCTAAACCAGGTTTTTTTTTCTGTTTTGCTTTTTATATAATATAATTCTTTTTTTTCTACGTTACAAGATAGTCATCCAGATGCACCTATTTTCTATGGACCAAATGATTTTTATATTGGTGCTCGAATAGAATTATTTAAACATCGTTTCGTAATTATTGATGCTGATCGTTATGTATTGAAATTTATTGAAGAAAATCAACAACAATTTTCACAACATGTAATTGAGTCACTTCGCAAAAAACTTTGTCTAAATAATGAAAAAGATGAACAAGTAAGATTAGTTTTCTTCGATATTCTTCACTTAATAATGTATAAATTTAATAGAATAATCATCAAATGGACATATATCAATCATGTTAATTGAAACAATACAAAAATCTTATCATCGACAAAGTTTGCAATTTTATTTTTAAAACATTGAATGTACTTGTTTTTCTCTTCATTCAAATCATAAACAAATACATATTATTTTGTTCTCAATATATTGAGTATATGTTTATTTGATTGAATCATTTCATATTAATATACACAAGAAGTATGGAGAATTTTGGAAAACCAATGCTATGTCCTGTAATACTAGTGCCCTATCAATGGCGGATTCAGACGTTGGAACATTTAGTACACATTTTAAAGTTCAAACAGAGGCATTTTATTCAGTCTTAGTGTCGATGATCGATTGATATTGTTTTGATATTTCATTTGGAACCATATTTGAAATTCTGAATAGTTGATATACGATTGATATGCTGCCTGGTTTCTTTTTATCATATACGCGTAAGATCTAAATTTCATCAATCTTAGTACAAATGTTTTTTTTTATTCATAACTTTATTTACAATGATGTTGTGTCTGCTAATTATCGCAAAATCAGTACACCAAATAAATAATGATGAGACTTCTGGTAAGAATAAACAGTATGTCAAATATGTGACATATTCTATCTGTGACTTGACTTTAACGTATAATGGCTGATATAATTGCCTTTTTGGATGTAATATATATAAGCAAATAATTGGTAGATACCATCTATTAATTAGAATTTAAATTTAATTTGATTAATCATTCAAACATTTTGATACACTTAACTAGTGATAAAAAAAACAAATAAGGAAATCAGCAATTGTGCGAATTCGAACAGATGCTTGATGATTAGTGTTTTCTTTTTTTATAGAAACCAGTTCTATCATTTGTTATTAATAAATATTTAGTGCATTCAAAATGAACGGAATTTTTGTTGGGCTGTTGTTGTTTTTTATTTTTCTTAATTGTATTTCATCGTCACCATCACCAATTCAACGTAATGCTGATCCATCATGTCCACCATATGGATGTATTGTGGATACTTCATTCTGTTTTTGTGGCGTAACACAAACTCCAGATGATCGTTGTTGCAAAGCTACTTGTACTTCATGTCCACCTGATTTTAATGTTAAACCATGGCTTACAATTGACTGGAATACATTTAATGTCAGTGCTCTCGATTTATCTCTTTTCGGTCGAAAGTAATATAAATTTTATCTTATTGTTTTTGTTATCTCAATAAAAATGACATATATATTTATATCAAACTACGAAGAAGAAGTTTATCATATTTACGATAACATGAATTACAGAATTTTAATTATTCATGTTTTACTTGAAACTATTGAACTTAAGTACTTATGAATGAAAAATGTGAATAACTTTTGAAAGATTTACTGTGAACTATTCACACTTAAAATTATAACTCGTATAAATATCGAATGTTAGCAAATCAAGCATTTAATAAGCATTCATTCCTTAGTTCACTAAGTTAAAGTAATTTGTTATTTCTATTTAAAAATGATTAGAATCATACTTTTGACCTGTTGATCAATCAATCCTTATACACGTTATCTTTTTTTTTATTGATATTTTTAAATCATATTCTTCTAAGGACTTATTGACCGTTCTATATAAAGCCTTGGTTTTTTTTACCCTTATCAATGATATAATGGATGAAAATAATCCTCGGTGAATACGAGTAGATGTTTTTCTTTCTGAATACATATATTTTTTTGCTACACATCATAAAGACAAACAGCAAAATCAACATAATATGAAGTGTTTATTATTATTATTTATCGTTTCTATTTTTCTTCTTATCGCAAACATTTTATCATTTGCAACACCAATTCGTCGTACTGCTAAATCTACATTATGTTTACCAAGTGCATGTATAACTGACCCTTCTTTTTGCTTCTGTAGTGTTGAAGAAAATTTAAATGATTCATGTTGTAATTTAAACTGTAGACTTTGTCCAGCTAATTTTACTATTCCATCAATTATATTTGATATTAGTCCATTAAATTTTTTTCCATTGAATTCATTCAATTTTAGTGAAATAAATTTTTCATTTCTTGGTCTCCGTTAATATTTCAAAAAGTTTTATTTTATTTATGCATTTCATAAATTAAAAAAAACTCAAATTATCGTTTGAGTTAATCACAGAAAAAAAAACCCATACAAACAAAAATGAGTATCAGTATTTGGTTGTATTGGAAAATATTCTTTTGTCAAAATAATGAATAAAATAAAATCAACAAATTAACATATTTGCGGATCTAAATGAAGATATTCAATAACAAATATTTTCATTACATTGCGAAAATGTGTAATTAATTCGAAGTCGAGATTGGCTTCATTATCATCAGCTGTATGCCATGTCGGTGGAAACGGAAAAGAAATTAAATGAAGGATTGGCACATCTAAAACATATAATTTAAAACGAAAAAAAGTAAAAAAAACATTTTGTGTTTCTTTTTATTTTTAAGTTACCTAGGTTTAAAAATGGTACGTGATCATCTTGCACATAACCTGGATGCATATCAGATGAAAATGCTGCTTTTTTATATGCATTATTATTATAAGAACGAAGAAGTTGAGTTTCTATATAAATAAAAGAAAAATATATTGAATTATTTTGCAATAACTAACCAATATTTCGTAATCTATTAAAATATTTGCCAGTAGTTCTGTCAAAAAAATTTACAAATCTCATGCTTTGATGTCCAACTAAATCGAGTAAAACGAACATATCCTGTAAAATAAAATTAAACATTAAAATAAAAATTCAATTAATTTAGACTAACTATTGCATCAATTTGATTTAAATTATATTGTCCTTGAACATTTGTATAACGCATTTTATTTGCTAGATGTCTAAATCAAAAAACTGTAAAATAACAAAATATTTCAAAATTTTATTCTGAAATTGTTTTTTTAGTAAAAAATTTAGTTATAAAAATATTTTTCTTAGAAAAAATATTCAACACTCTTCATCTATCAAAATCGAGCTTAGATCATGTGCATCCAAATTTTATGAAATGTTGTGGTTATAGTGGAAGGGCTATGATAAAGTTTTAAGTTCTATGTCATAAGGTTTTTGAACAAAATACAACAAGTAAGATTCAAAAATGGTTCATTTCGTAACCGAAAATTCTCTGTGGATCTCCATTGTGTAGATTTAATTTTTTTATACTTGAAAAAGAATGCAAGCTTGCCTCTCACAATGGTCATTTATTTATGAAAATGCGTTTTTATATAATAATAAAAAGTTAATGCAAAAAAAAAGGTATCGTACAAGTTCACATTCTATTTCAAATAAAAAAAGAAGCAGTTTACTACTATAACGCTTGTTCGAAAATTCTCGGAAGCGCGATCAGATAAGTGTAAACCGAGAAAATTCAAAAAAAATTTACCGTTTTTCTGAGAAAAAAAACGTATTTTTCAAGCAGACATTGATCTTTTTTTCGGAGGGAGTGGACTTAAAAATATAAATGTTATCTTTTTAATAGATATTTTTTATACAGATTGAAATTGAATCTTTATTACCTTGAACCATAAAGTGAATCCGTTGATGTCCAGTCTATAAAAGCTTCTTCACCGTCGAAAAAAAGTAATTGTAAAGTTGGATTTCCTTTCTAATAAAATGCAAAATAAAAAAAATATATGATTAAATTTTTTTCTTTCTTTTTTATCTTACATTTTTCTTTAAATCATTCAATTGTTTTTTAAGACTAATTGCCAAATCAAGTAATACAGCACATGGTACGGCACTATCTGTAGCACCAACAAAATTTGAAAGCTTTTTTGAATCATAATGACAAGCAAGAACAAGACGACGAGTTGCTGTTGAATCAAGTGTAGCTATTATATTTGTAAATTCAACATTGCCATACTAAAATTAAAAAATATATAACTAGATGACATGCGAATTTTACATGGCTGAAAAATGAGGTGCAAAGCAACATATGTCGGTCATCAAAAATATTGACATCTTTTAAAAGAACGAATAATCATTTCTACGATTAAATACAAATCGTTTTACCACCTGAGATATTTACAGTTCATATTGATGAATTCCTTTTGTGTCATTCGTATCGAAAACTCGAATGCTCTATGTTTCGAATAAAGTAATCGAAGTATAAACGATTAGTAATGTTGATATGGCAAAATTTAGTATAACGAGAACTCTACTTACATGTTTCTAGAGGATACTATAGATTTATCGCTTAATTATCTATGTTATTCATTCTTTGTTATCGATTGTTCACACACTTGATTTCAATACTTTTTTGTTTATAGATACTACATAGCTTTTTGATACAAGCTAGAAAAGGATTTGGATTTCTATTGAGTTTCTTTTTAAACTTTGTGCATATACACGACTCAACTACTCTAGATTCTTTAAAAAACTCACCAGTTTTGAATAAAGTGTCTTCAAGATATGAAGCTTTCAAAAATCAGTATATGTGGTATACATTATCCATGGAAAATGGTCTATATCTTGAAAGTTTCATATATGAAAGAAACTCCCTTTGAAATTTCTAAATTTTTAAATGAAAGTTAGTCGAAAGTTGAAGACACCTAGAACATACATATAGTATATAAAGACAAAATTTATTATTGAAACCGTAAAGGAGTAGCTGAAGAGGTTTCCTTGTCGATTCACAAACAATTGCTTTTTTTTAGTGACTTTTTCTACGAATCCTATTATATATTTGAAAACGAATCGTATAGATGCGATAATGAAATATCAGCCTTATGTTTAAATCAGTATTTTTTTTTGACTTTTCGTTTTCAAAACGATGGTGACCGAAAGATGATAAATGGTTTCACTTAGAGTCGATGTTGTCCCATCGAAGATGTTCATTATCGCTCTTGCTCATCATTTTTAATGATTCTCAATAAAAAATGAAAGCTAAATCATCTTTCTGACAAAGTTCGAATGATTTTCTAGTAACTCGCCGTTGTCTATATCATTGCAACACAAAGTAAAGATATTACTACAACGAAAAAATATATAAAGTACAAAGCTCAACTGCATACGCGATCGACTATAGATATTCTGTGTTTTGTATCGTATTAAAAATAAATTTTGAATCTTACTGGTGTCATTTCATCGAATGTATCAAGTTCAATATCCCACATATTAATCGATTGCAATTTTGAAATAATAAATTGTCTAGCTCTTGCATTGCCTGGTGTACCTGGTACTCGTTCAATTAATAAAGGTCGAAGTAAATTCTGACGAAAATCATCAGAATTATCGGATATGGTTGAGAAACATTGATATTGTTTAGCACCTATTTCACGTATACCATGTTTTACCTACAATGAAAGAATTTCAAAGAAAAAAAAAAAAAAAAGATTTAATTAGAAATAAAAATTCATGAGAGAATGTCAGTACCCGTGTTAAATATTCATGAAGAATGAATATCAAGAAGCAAAGAAAAGTAATAATGAGTATAAAAAGTAATGGAGCACGAAATACTGGATTTTCAGCATTAAGACGACAAACAGGCATTTTACTTTCAAATTAGTAAACTTACACGTCGCGTTTGCACTAGATGAACAGTGTAGCACAAGCACGATATTAATAGTATCGAGAAAATATTTATTAATGACATCTAAAATAGATAGATGTAAATTACCTTATTAAATAAAAGTAGCATTGGCAAATATTGTCGATAGAACATTATTTATATAAATGATCGTTTTCTCTTTTTCTTTTAGCAATGTCATCAACGATCTAGAAAATAGCTTCATATGTATATATAGTTCTATTTCGAATCGATTTAATCTTAACAAATATTGTTTATTGATGGATTATTTAATACTTTCCTTATATTATTTTGCAAGGTTTCCAATAGAAATCTGAAACCATGTACAAATAGGTGTCTCATTTTTATTGACAAAAATACATCACAATACTAAAGGAAAGAACTGATCGATAAAGATCTAAGTAAACTTGTTACTATTCGTATCTTGTTATGCACAAATATGTACACATGTTCGTCTGACTACGTTTAAGAAATATTTCTCTGAATTCATTTTTACTGTCATGTGCATAAGAGAAATTTAAAAAAAAAGGATAACATCAAACTAATTATTAGTTTTCTCGATTCTACATGTTAATTCATTTGTCATAAGATCATGTAGGTAGTGGCTATATATAAGAAACAATATTGGAAATTTAAAACAAGAAAAAGACAAATTTCAATGATAAATCTGGTAGAAATAAAAAGGAGATAAGCAACTTATCAATATTGCCACAACAAATAAGTAAAATGCTTATTCTACTTTGTAGAGTACTACCTAAGTACTTTGCTTTTGCTTGAGGTACTGAACATTAGGAACATAGCCGAGATCGGGCCGAAGTGTAATGTTGATTATTAACTCTTGAACTCCTTTCAAAAGAAGTATTGATCCATCGTATAGGAAACTTCGTGTTTGATTAGTTTTCTTTTTTTTTGGAGGGTGATCAAATAAAATAATCATTCTTCGACGTTTCATTTATTTTCTAAACAGATCATATATTTTTGTATTTTGTGTCATTGTTACAAACAATGTCAATAATTGGTTGTAAAAAACGAACCAATACAAATTTTTTTCTCATATAAATATCACTACAATCAACGAAATGCCAAGTCATGTGGTGATATCTCATAAACCATTGATTTACGTTTATATTTCTACTATTTCTTTTACATCAAAAAAATAACTAAACGATACATTCCAATGTCTTTTCTAGTGTTCTGAATGATCTAGTCAAATCAATGTCAGCGGCATCAGAAAAATTTCATTTTGTTCTTAGCCATGAACTTGAAGATCGTATTCAAATAAAAATGTAATAGAATTCATTTTACATTTTCGAAAAAAAGCAGCTTTTATTTCTTCTTTACTGCTCTCTTTTAAAATTTTCACAGTTCTTCCATTGATGGTGAACGAACACAACAACAACAACAACAACAACAAGCACAACAACCTATTAATGATATATTCTTTTCTAATAGTTCATCATTTATTCGTAATTTAACTGATACAAAACGTAGTGAACCTTATGTTCTTTGTCAAGTTTATTCTGATGGACAATCACTTTGTATGCCTGTTCAAACATCATTTAAATCATTTACTGATAAATGGAAGTAAGAAAAATAATAATTCATTTTTTTATTTCATCATAAACAAAAAATTTATTTTTTCTTTCTTATTAAGTTGGAATGAATGGTTAACATTACCATTAAGATATTGTGATTTACCACGACATGCAATACTTGCATTATCAATTCATGAAATAATTTCACCAACACAAGTTCGTATTATTGGAAGTACAACAATATCGCTGTTTGATTCTGATGGGTAAAATTTTACAAAAATATCTTTCAAAATTTATTTAAAAAAAAAAAAAAAACAAAATTCAATTTTAGAACATTTAGACGAGGAATATATGATTTAAAAGTTTGGCCAAATGTACCACCAGATGTTAAATTTAATTCTTCAACACCTGGAAAAGTAGAATCTATATTAAATAATGAACAAATTCTTAGTAATCATACAAATCAAAAAATAAAACCAGTAGCATCAGTACCAACTATAACAACAAGTAATCTTCAATATAATCGAAAACAGATAACATCTAAACCTTTGAATATTACATGGAATGATGATAGTGCATATCCAATGTTAGATGAATTAAGTCGAATAGCAAAAGTAGATATTTATTCAAATGTTATTGTTTTTTGTTATTGATTTTTGTTTTAGTTAATCAAAACTCAATGTGACGGTCATACAATAAATCAAGAATGGCTTGATCAATTAACATTAGCTAAAACACGAACATGTTTAGATAAAGAACGTTCAAATTCAAGATCAATGTTATTAATGATTGAATTTGCTCGAACAATTATTAATGATAATGAATGTATTATACTATATTTTGAACCGGTATTTAAAATTTTTTCTTTTTATTTTATTTTTTTCAAATTTTATGATATATATATATATAAATTAGAAATGTGATGATGTACTCAATTATCCAATTGGTTATACTGATCTTGTTATTTATGATCCTGAACTTGATCTTGTAAATTGACTCTAATGAAATATTGCTTTTTTTATTTGTTTTATTTATTTTTTATTCATAGGAGAATATTGTTGAAAGTAAACATTTAAAATTATCACGTAGTGCTCGTAAAGCATTAGATAAAGATTTAAAACCAACAATTGAACAACGAGATAAATTAATGCAAATATTAGCTTATCCACCAGGACAATATCTTTCTGATGATGAACAAGATTTAGTATGGAAATATCGATTTTTTTTATCACAACATAATAAAGCACTTGCTAAATTTCTTCAATGTGTTCATTGGGATAAAGAAGAAGAAGTTAAACAAGCATTAGATTTATTACAACAATGGGTTACAATGGATACAGAAGATGCACTTGAATTACTTGGTCCTGCTTATCATCATCCAAAAGTTCGTTCATATGCAGTTTCAAGATTACGACAAGCACCAGATGAAGTAACAAAAAAAAAAAAATATTTATTTTTTTTGTCTATTTCAAAAATTTTTCTTTTATGTAGGATCTTCTTCTATATCTTTTACAATTAGTACAAGCTCTTCGATATGAACGTTATGATTTAAATAATACTTCTATGGTTGATTCTGTAACAGAAGAACTAACTAGGTTCGTTATTATAAGATTTTTCAAAAGAAAAGAAAAATTTATTAAAATCTTTATTTTATAGTTCTAATGGTACTTATGAAAGTTTTGCTAATGCAATAGGACAATCAGATTCAACATATAGTGATCCAACAAAATCTTCTTCATTAGAAGTATATTCAATATTTTAATATATTAAAAATGAATAAAAAAAAACAATTTATATTATAGGTTGATTTATCAACATTTCTTATTCAACGTGCATGTGAAAAACCGGTCGTAGCAAATTATTTATTTTGGTTTGTTATTTTTTCTTTTCATGTTTTATTTAATTATTAATATTTCATAAAATATAGGTATGCTTATGTTGAATGTGAAAATAATAGTTCATCAAAAGACAAAGCTATTAGTGATATATATCAAGCATTCGTTAAACGACTTAGTATGACACTTAAAACGGTAATTTCATTTAATGAATGATACAAAATTTTTGAGATAAAATATTCTTTCATTTTGATGGAGAGGATTAGAAACAAAAAAAAAATTATGAAACTTTCAGTTTGAATTAGAATTTTATGCTCTCGAGGAGTGTATCACGTTTGAAAAGTATTCTATAGTGTGTACTATTGCAGTTTTTTTTCGATATTTTTTTAGAGGTAGAAAGGACTAAAATTTCTTGCAGAAAATGCTTTCATCCTCATATATAAAAAGAACAATATTCTGATCCTAACTCAAAACGTTCGAGTCATTTCTTAGTATAATTGTATATATATATATATAAATTTCTAATTAAATATAGGTGAATGAACAAACTCAACAAGTACGTTTATCAATAGAAGCACAAAAAAAATTTGTTGATAAACTTGTTGAATTAACAAATATTGTTAAACGTGTACAAGGTTCAGCTAAAATTAAAGTTAGTTAAATTAATTGAAAAATAAGATTGAGATTTTAATAATTATTAAATATTTTAGGAAGATAAACTTCGTAGTTTGTTATTAGCTGGTGATGATTCACCAGTTAAATTTAATTTTCTTAATTTTGATCCAATACCTTTACCACTTGATCCTGAAGTTAAAATTCGACGAATTATTCCTGATAAAATTAAAATATTTAAAGTAATTCTTTTTTTTTTATTTGATATTATAAAAAGAAAAATCAAAAAAACATGATCTCGATATTTTATTTTTTTCTTTAGAGTGCTAAATTACCATTTTTATTCGTATGTGAAACAATAGATGGTGGAGAATATCCATTTATATTTAAAAATGGAGATGATCTTCGACAAGATCAACTAATATTACAAATAATTATGTTAATGGATCGAGTAAGAGATTAATAAATATATTTTTTTTTCTTTTGCATTTTAATTTAAATATAAAATTAGTTTTATAAAAAAAAAACAAAAAGAATTTTCATCTATATGTGTTGATTAAATATTGATTTAAATAATTTCGCATTTGAATTCAATAAACAGTTTCAATTGATATAGAAATAATAAATTTGTTTTTTATTTTTTTAGATCCTACGAAAAGAAAATATTGATTTGAAATTAACACCATATAAAGTTTTATCAACAAGTTTAAAATATGGTAAATATCATTTTGTATGTTAATAGATTTTTTAGAAAATTATTTGCATAGCAAATAAAGAGTTTATAGAGTACAATCAAGCTTGTCTTAGAAACATTTTCTTAATCTATGATTGGATAGTATGGTTAATCAGCTCGAAGCAAAATGATGCTTGTTAAGTGTGTGTGTATGTGTTTTCGTTATGAATAATTTTCAACAATCAACTAGCTAATCAATGTATTTTAAAAATGTTAAATTGAATGATTAATAAGAAAATGTTAATAGATAATCGATCATTGTAAGTTAAGTTATTGATGTTGTTACATCTGTCTATGGCATATTCCATGGTTTTTTTTAATGACGAAATACTCTGTAGATTTAGAATGAGG